AAAAAAATGGACACAACCTATGGCTATCAGTGGAAGAGTAATTAGATAAATTATAGCACTTCTAGCCAGGGAATAGGAATACTATACAATTGTTAAAAAGAATGAAGGGGCGCCTGGGTGGCTCAGTCCGTTAAGTGTCCGACTTTGGCTCAGGTCATGATCTCGCAGTCTGTGAGTTTGAACCCCATGTCAGGCTCTGTACGGACAGCTTAGAGCCTGGAGCCTGCTTGGGATTCTGTGTCTCCCTCTCTCTCTGTCCCTACCCCACTCATGCTTTGCCTCTCTCTGTCTCTGAAAGATGAATAAACCTTGAAAAAAAAAATTTTTTTTTAAAAGAATGAATATCCAAACACACTGACACAGAAAGATAGATTGATATGTATGCTACATTGTTGAATTAAAAATAAATGTAGTTGTAAGATTACACGGTGTGATAATTTTATATTAGAGCACACAAACAAAACCATACATCTGTGTGCTTATACATGCATGTACATACATCAAGAAAAGATTTATAAGGACATACACTGGACTCGTAACAGAGATTAATTTAGTGATAGGGGTGTCACATTGGAGGAAAGAGTAAATTGTTTTACTTTGTCTTTTATATAACCTGTACTTCCTTGTTTGCAGGTTAAAAACCTAAGTGAGGAAAATGCAAAAAGACTATGTTTTACAACATATATTATTATAGTGTTGCTGTTCCCTCCCTCTCATTGGACCTGCTGTTTTTCCTCCTCATACATTTAGCTGCTGAACTTATTTCCACATTTTCACTTGCATGCAAAAAATGTTAATCCGCTGAGTTTCATGTCCTTCAGACGTAACATCTTCAGCCTCTCCTAGGTGCTCTCATCTGCAAACCTCTGGCCTCACCCCTGCCCAAACGGGCTAACTAAAATGATAAATCCTTTTGTTTTGTGGAATTTAATCCCTTCAATCTAGTAATGAGGGTAGCCTCCTCATATTATGATCAGATTAATTCTTCAATTAATTAAACATGGACAATAATTCTAGTCCTTAGAGCAATGAATTTTGTTGGTAGGCAAAATATCTTTCTAATTATAAGGTGGAGGGAAAAAATAATAGAAGGGGTAAAAATAATATAAATACCAAGCAATGTGCACCTAAGTCCCAGGAGGTCAGGTTTTTCTTAAGTCTTGTGAAGAGATGGCCCCAATGATCAAATCATGGTCAAGTTCACACTATTATTATAAATTATCAACCCCTAGGGTTTTCATGTACAAATGGTGGACTCTCTTTCCTAGAAGCTACAGTGCTCCCAGACATCTCTCTGGAATTCTCTAACTTCCTTTCTTTCTGGCAAAGAAGTTGGAGGTAGTGGTTGGCAGAAACACCGGCCTGGGCTTTGCTGGAGTGGATATCATATCAGGTCCTGGCAATCTCTGCAAGGAGAAATTTTTTTTTCATTTAATTTAATTTAATTTTTTTTTTTTTTTTTTTTTTTTTGTAGAAAATGTCATCAAAGGCAGAGCAGTTAAATGGTTTGCTATTACAAGCCTTTGTAGGAAGGAATTAGGGTGGTGGTTTCTAATCTGCTGGATGACACGGTGAGAAAAGATGGGGAAGGGCCCCAACCAAACCAGTGTCCTGCCCACACCCACTGGAACAGCTACTGTAGCGTCTCATCATTGGCAAACCCCAAAGGGTGCCACGTCAGGCCCTGCTCTAAAAAAACACACAACAACAAAAACAACAACAAACATAGAAAAGAATTCATCCTATGGATGGAAAACAGATGCTGCACTGCACCTGTTAGAGGTTACCTTCCTTTCCATTCCTAACCCAGCAAAGAGCAGCAAAATCACTTTTGCAAATGTTCTCTGCTTTGGGGCTGCAGAGAAATGACACATCCTGTGCAAATGAGAGCTTCAGACAGGTTACCCAACACAGCGAGGAGAAAATGTGAAATGAGGTCCTGGCAATTGTCCAAAGCATCAGAGCATTTGAAATAACTCTAGTCTGGCTCTGTAAACCATGAAAATTGGTGAGATGGGACCAAAAGATGCAAGAGCTCTTTGAATCCAAGAAGGAAACACCTAGAAACAGACAAGTCGTTCCCTTAGCCTCATTTTCCTGCATTTAGGGGAGAGGCAGGCGGAAAACTCCAGTGGGTCTTACTCAGAACTGTTTCCATGGTTTTAAACTGAAATTGATGCCTTTAATGTCCAAGTTGTGATGACAATCGGCCTGGTTGCATGGCCCCTTTCATCGCCAGGGCCTGCACGGGGCTTGTAAAGAGATGCTCTTAAAAAGATTTCTGGATGTCAACAAACTCTTAAAAAAAAAAAAAACAACAACCCCAAATATGTTGATGAGTTGAGCATATGCAAGTGAGGAACCAAAGGATTCATATTTTCTTTGAAACACAGGCTCAAGTATGAAGGGGAGGACATCCGGTTGTCAAAATAGGCTTGAGGTTTTGTGAACCCAGAAATTCTAGAGAGCAGGGTGAGATTTGTTCCAAACCCTAAATACTGCAGGGTTAAGTCTTCCCTCTAAACAATTAGATAACTGACATCTCATTCCGTGGATTTCTCCCTTGTTTCTTCTTTTCTAAAGCAAACAAAATAACTCGCCTTGTTTCAGGGTAATTTTGCTAATATTTCCATAATTAAATAATTACTTCAACTCCTGAATTAAAAACTGTCCCGTCTCCGGGTACAGGAGGCTGCCAGCTGTTTTAAATAACCCTTGAGAGTGGTCAGGTTAAGGACTCAATTTATGACCTTATAAATTAACACAAGGAAACCTACTCTATAATGCAACAGACAATTCTATTTATAATGCTTAATTAATCCCCTCCAGTCACCAGCAGAACCCACTTGTGGCTTTCATTTCAACCTCACCCAAACGCAAGTCTCCTGAGATGAGACGTGTTAATATGTGAATGCTGATAGAGTTTGCAGGCCTCATGGGCGAGTATTAAATAGCGGACGGTCTGGATGAATCAGCTTCCGATTGTTCACTAATCAAATGTAAGAAGAAAATGGCAAGTTTGGCAGCACTGACGAAACCCTTCATCAAAAAACCTGAGCTGGAGCGAGGTAGAAAGAGGAAAATGCCCAAGTCTGACACTGCCCGCAAACACTAGCTCTAGACTTCAGGAAATCTCCGCGGAGCAGAGACCCCGACAAAGTGTCAGAATTGTATCAAAGGATGGCTGTAGGAGGCTGTCCTGGGTGGCTTCATTTGTCTGGTGTCACCCGTACCCCGAGGCTGCTCTCTTTTTGATAAGAAAACTCAAAGTGGTAACCAATTCTATGCTGCCTTACCTAAGGTATTACAGAGTGGAGTCATCTGGAAAATCCCAAGTATCTCAGAAGGCTACAGGGTGTGGGCAGAGTCATTTCTGCAGACAAAGAAGATTCTCCTGGGACTAGGCCCTGGGCGGGAGAAAGGAATCACCGCGTGGACAGGAATTCTGCCTTGTGGCCTGGCGTCTTGGAATATGCACGGACGGCTTTATCAGGTTTTAGGACTGTGCAGGGTATAATCAGGAAAATGACTTTCTCCCTTTTTTGTCCACCGTGTTCAAGAATCAACATAACGTGATATGTGCAGCTCTACTGGAGTCTTTAGCCAAGCTCCTTAACCTCGCCGCCTCGGGTTCCTCATCCACAAAGCAGAAGTGCTAACAGTGCCCATCTCCAGGGTTCTTGTGAGATTACACAGAGCTAATACACACGGAGGTTTTAAACAGTGCCTGGCATACAGTAGGCGCTCCGCAGCCTCGACTGTTCTTATCGCAGCCTCACTCTGCTGCTTTCTCCTCTGGACTCCCTGTCTTCCCTCCAGGTGCTGCTGTAGCAGCTACGTCTGGCTGCCAGCAGCTCTCCCGAATAGCTTCCTAACTCACTTCCTCATTCCAGGTCCACACCTCTTCCAATGCGTCAGACACAGTACTGCCACCTAAGTCTTTCATAGTCTACCTCCCATCCTGTCCCCCTCTTATTCAGGGGTCTGCAGAGTTCATCATCTAATGTCGAAACTCCTTAATCTTGAATTCAAGTGTCATTGTACCCCTGCCTCCTGCCCTAGTTTCTCTCTCTGCTCTTACATTTCACGGGGCCTTCTTGTGAGCCCTCACCTCCCCTGGAGCTATGATCTGTTCCCCTGCTCTCCTCTGCCTGTTCTAGCATGTTCTTGCTCTTCAACTGTGCTCCCAGGTTTCTCCACTTGGAGGCTACCTCCCCCTCCCACCAGCACCTTCTTTTTTTAAAACATTTTTAAAAATGTATTTACTTAGAGAAAGAGAGCTGGGGAGGTGCAGAGAGAGAGAGAGAAAGACTCAGAGAGAGAGAGAATCTCAAGCATGCTCCACACTGCCAGCATGGAGCCCGATGTGGGGCTCGAACTCACGAACTGCAAGATCATGACCTGAGTCAAAACGTGGAGTTGGACGCCTAACTGACTGAGCCACCCAGATGCCCCTCCCCCAGCATCTTCTGGTCCAAATCCTAGACATCCTTGAAAACCAAATGCCACCTCGACCTTGGAACTTTTCTGATCCTATCATGTTACTTTCCTCTTTCTTTTCTGACTCCCAACATCTTTATCTGTTTTCCTTTTAAATCCTCAACCCTAGTTACCTGCTATTACAGATATCAATGCATATGCCTCTTAGTATGTTCCATTTCCCACCCTCTGAGCTCCTTGGATTGAGACTGATTCTTCAGTGTGTCTTACTCAGTCTTGTCTCCATCACTATGCTATGCACAAAACAGGCCCTCTGCAAACAAGAATGGAATTATTAATATTTTGGACAGGTTTGGAATAGTGACAGCCTGATCCTGCAGTTCATGCTTCCTGTGACTTATTCTCAGTAACCCCTTGCTCTGTACGGGAGTGCCTATGCAAATATGTCAACTCAAAAAGTAAATGGGATTAAAAAATCCTATCAGCAGCAGAAAAAAAACAATGGATTGTTTTTTAAGAAGAAGCAATGGGGAAAAAAAAAGAAATCTGGAGTCCAGTACCTTTATATCTGGTCACTACAGCTGCGTTGACACTAAGAGGCTCTTGAAAGCTGACAGTGAGTGATGTGCTGCTGGTCACCATAAGAGAGGCGTTGGTTGGCACCTCGGGGGCTCCTGGGACAGAAGGAAAAACATAAGGATCTTAACATCGCAAATCCTTTTCAAACAACGTTCCCGCCTCTTCAAAGGATACCCTGAAACACACACTATGGAAACATTTGTTTGTAGAGCCTAATAGCTTTTGCTTTTGAACATTTTCATTAGAAGTCTCAATGGCCTTTATTTGTTGCTATTGTGATCTTATTTGAGCATTAGAACATCTTCTGAAGGGGTAAATAATACCAGTTAAGCCTTCCCAAAGTATCCTGGAAACACAACAGGAGATTGACCTGGACCAGTGGAGAGGAGGCCAGAAAGTGTTAGCAGGAACTGTTGATAGAGACTGGTACATTTCATGAAGTATTTTCATGTAAATCATTGAACTGGAGCCTTTTTGCAACCCTGTTGGGTAGAAAGGGCAAGTAACAGTGTGTGCACGTTTAGGAGGAAGAAACCACGTCTGAAGAGACCACACTAACTTGTTCAAGGACGCAGTGAAGACACAGCTAAGACCAAAGCCTGTGGCTTCGGATGCCCCGTTCTGGGCTCCTCCCTGTGTGGAATGCTCAGGGCCTGGCTCTCATGCTGCCTCCTATTACATCAAGTAACATTTTCTGAGAAAGAATTCATGGACGAATGTCATGCCCATTAACCTCGGGTTTTAAAGGACTCCTGATAGTTTTAGGTGTTCCTTAACACCCAGAAGGTGTTTTGTGATTTAGAAAATTACCCCCCAAATGGCTGTAAGTCTAAAACTATAATTACTTCTAGTATTAATCTGTGTCCTAAATGAGGCACAATAGCAAATGCATTTATTAAAACTATTGCTGAATGTCTTTTTTTAATGCTAAAGTATTTATTTTACAATAAGATTCTGTAAAAAAATCTTTATTTAAGCAAGTTATTCTATTAGTTAAAACAAAGCAAAGGTAATAAGTTTGAAAGCAAATTAGTATGTATTTTTTATGAATGTCTTTTTTTTAATTAAAAAAACACGTATCAGCATTGCTGAAGAGATTGTTAATATTGAAAACAAACTTCCATGAATGTTGCTTAAGCTATTTGCTTTAAGAGAAAGGATTAGGGTATGGTTCGATACTTAGCACTGCTTTAGAAAGCCAGATTTTCACTACTTTTTGTCTTTATCTATAGCACAAAGCAGAGGCAGATATTTCCAAACTAATGAACTGATCTTTCTCTTATATTCAAATTCTCCAGTCACTGTGTGTCTGGAGTGTCACAACAACCACACTTGTTGTTGTGGTTTAAATAAGATCTACTTTTAGAATAAGATTTTAGTATTTCCCAAGTGTTTGACTTTTATATATTTTTATAGTAGGGGCTGCTCTAAGCATTACCTTCCAGTGCTAATGAGTATTATCCAGAAACAACGCTTTTTCTTAAACTAACGGAAAGAATTGGTGATGAGAACAGAAGTACAGATAAAGCACAGTTCAGTGACTGACTGTCCTCTGTCGCCTGTAGTAACTGAAGATTGGTTTATATAAGCTCCCTATAAAAAAAAAATGCAAGAGAGAGTTGAAAACAACTTAAACTTGGGTTGAAGGCAGAAACTGGACAAATAGGCAAACAAATATTTTCCACCTCCACATCCCAAAATATAGCCACTTAGGGTATCAAACCATCCAGGTTATTAGGCAGTAGGGCGTATCGGGTGGAAAGCTCTAGATGAGTGTGAGATGGTGGAGACAGGCCAGCAGCACCGAAGCCTCATGGCTGTGGTCAGAGAACCTATCGGGAGCCAGAAAATCAAGCGAGACAAAAGATCCTTTTACAGTCGCCCAGAGCCCTCGCTCCAAATAGGCTGACAACGGCCATCCATGACCCTGTAGCAGAACTGCCAAAAAAAAAAAAAAAAAGTCAGTAAAAGAAGGCCTGGCTGTCTCCAGCCAACCTGGTTTCTAGTTAAATGCAGAAGTCCTCTGCTTATACTCACTGGCGTGCTCAAAGCCCGTTCTCATGCGTCTGTAGAGCCGACACCTCCACTCCCAAGCTTTCAGCTGTTTCTCTTTCTCGGTGTTGTCCAGACTGGGTCCTTCGTTCTCCACCTGGGCGGACAGCTCGCTCACCCTCTGCTGGGCCTCCTGCACCAGCGTGGCAAGGTGCATCGCTCGGCTTTCCAGGCTGACAACTGGAGGGAAAGACATGGCTGACTCCTTTCTCCTTCTGGGGGAATGCCGCTTCATTGGCGGGGTAGTTAAGAGTCTACTGTGGACTTTAAAAAAATGCCCGGGCTAAGTGGGATCCATGTTCCTCATTACCCGACTGACTCCAGTACGTCAAAGTAGTGGTAAATCCATCCATTTAAGATATCTCATTGCTCTGTGGCCCTCTTGTCACAGGCACCCCAAGTAGCTGCCTAGCATGGTTCACTAGAACTCCACTATCAAGTACCCATGAGGACCACTTCTAACCCAGATCGCACACATTTGTTTCCATGATCTTTAGAAAGACAAACAGGGCCAAAAGCTCTGTAGGGCTAGTAAGGACTTAGGAAAAGTCATCCACAAGGCAAGTTGCATACTATTAAAGTTGGTTGGTCATTTTTTCCCTTCCTTTTTTCTTTCTTTCTTTTTTCTTTTTTCTTTTTTTTTTTTTTGGTAGCATCGGATTCGAATTTTCTGCTCTTATCACATTGTGCCAATCTCATAGACGTTTTTGTATACACATCTCAGTGGTGTAATATTTACCTATTTATTTATTTAAAATATTTTTTAATGTTTATTTTTGAGAGAGAGAGAGAGACATATAGACGGAGTGTGAGTGGGCAAGGAACGGAGAAAGAGGGAGACCCAGAATCTGAAGCAGGCTCCAGGCTCCAAGCTGTCAGTACAGAGCTGGATGCAGGGCTTGAACTCACGAACCGTGAGATCCTGACCTGAGCTGAAGTCGGACACTTAACCGACTGAGCCACCCAGATGCCCCCACCAATTTATTTATTGCTAACGAAGTGCCCGCTGCCATGGTAGGGCTGCACATTCTGACACTGGGTGTCATTAGACAATGATCTTCTATCAATTCGATCTCTGATCATGATCTCAGGGAAGGAATGGTTTCTGGAGATGCCTATGCCTGACAGCAAGTTCGACTACTCTTTTTACGGAGAGGGATTATACAGCTTGATATTTCTGTTTTACTCAATACATGGTATCTCAGCTAAATTCACATGATGGCGTTTACCCAACTGGCCCTTGTGTGAGTGAATGTTCGGGACAACAACAGAATGCATCACATTCTTGTGTCAGACTGGGAAGCTGCTTCTTGGCCTTTGCTCCTGGCTCTCACGAACGTGAAGGCTGCCTCAGCGGTCACTTGGTCACTCTGCAGGAGCCCCCTCTCTCCGGTTAGTGGTAAGGAGGAGGCAGCCTCCGCGTGGTCTTGTGGAAGGGAACCATGCAAATACTGAAACAGACCAGAATCAAGTTCTGCTGCTCTGTTGCCAACATGTGTTTGACCCTCTCTGTGACCAAAACAATATTTCCCCCTGGTGGGTGAGAAAGAAATCCAACCATTCCATTCTTCTAATTAAGGGGGGGGGGAAATATGATGAAGATAACTCAAGTGAAAACTTGTTAGGTGTATTTTGAAATGGAAATTAGGTGGTTATAGATTCATCTTCTCTGTGTTCATAGGCATGTTTGCATTAATTACAGGAAATGAATAATAATTTATTATTGCCCCTGCTCACCATCAGTCTCAATTTATTTACAGATGAGGTCAATGAAAAATTAGTTGAGTCTTTTTTTCTTTTTCTTTCTTTCTTCTTTCTTTTTAAAGTTGCTGTTTAGAACACTCAGGACTGTGTTTTGCTGCCGATTTGTCATGGTTAATGAATGTTGCTGTAGCAGTCAATCATGTACTCTGAATACCGTCACACTTTTTTTTTTTCTAAAGCCTCAGTCGTGAGCCATGACAGAAAAATAAACAAATAAATATAAAGCTAAAAAACTCTTTCACTGAGCAGCTACACTACGCAAAATCCCCCGGGAAGGCTAAAGGGGGCCAGAATAAATGATAATATAAGTGCTGTGGACGCAGGGAGGCAATGATGGTGTATGAATGTGGAGGCTTTGGCAAAAAAAAAAAAAAAAAAAATACACACACACACACACACACACACACACACACACACACACACACGCGGGCGCACACTCCAGTGGAAAAATTGGCAATATTAGTAGCCTCAAGGTGCAATTTCCTGAAGCAGTGAGATTGACAAGTCAGTACTAAATGCTGTTAATTTAACTAACTTCAGATTAATGGTAGAGTCTGCTATGACTGAAGGCCTCAAACACAGTCTCATTATAGCCTTGCTGGGAAGGTCCTAAATATAGGCATTGACAGTTTAAAACAAATTCGTATACATTTGTGTATTTTTAGACATAGGTTAGGCGTCAGGGTTTGTGTCACAGTTTTCAGGTTGATTAATTGACCCAGTAACTGCACCCTCTACCCACCGCCCCCCTCCTTCTTCCACTCCAAATTATAGAGAAAATGGGGGAATTGTCCTTGCTAAGTCATTCTGTGAGCTTTTTATTGTAAGCCTGATGTTTGAATTGCATGCATGCATCAACACTTGGGTGATAGACACATGATTTATAAAAATAAATTTTTCTAATACTATGAAATCCCCCCTATTAATTTTTATATCCACAACAGTTATTACTGGTGTGAATTCCAGGTGGCATTTCAGATGGACAGCTTCTCTTGAGCTGTGCTTGGCTCCCCCTGAAATTTTTCCTGCTTTCCTCAGCACAACACGCTTTGTTTCTAGACTTTCCCTTTCCTCCTCGGCTGTGGCCTTGATGCTGTTTTGAGTTGTAGTGGCAAAGGGATTCTACATGTTTAAGGTAAAGCCTTTTGCCTCTTCATAGGCTAAAGGAAAATCCATTCGGTTTTACAGCCAGGTGAATTTTCCAAGATCCTCTAGATCCCTGTGCTTCTCAAATTGGGCTACCTAAACACCAACACAATGTGGTGGTGCTGGTGGGGCCGCAGTGGGCATCTCTGGAGCCACAGAATGAATATGTGTGTCTTCCCAGGGCATCAATTTTTCCATACAGATTTTGGTAAAAGCATATTATTTAGAAATTAAAACAAACATTTCTGGAGGAGAATGGAAAGATATCCCCAAAATTGAAGGCTTAAAAAGGAACTTGATAGAAATCTCTCCCACCGTTTTTCTTCCAGGCACCCCTGAGAATGCACTCACTTGCCTCTGTAGTTAGAGGTAATTCCGTGGGCGAATAGAAGGGGCACCAACCAAGCCAGTGGTTTCCAACCATGTCACCCAGCAAAACTTTTATTATTATTTTTTCCTATGGAGTTTTTTAATAGCTTAATAAAACACTTCTCTTTTGAAAGATTTTCCTTATTGACTACCAAATCAGCTGACTTACAAAGTAATCATTTTCTCCTTATTATTAATGACCTAATGAAGTGGGTTTATACATTTTAAGCAGAGGTAATATGATAATCATATTAGACCGTGCAGTTTTATCTTGAGTAATGGTGCCATAGTTTAGGCTTTTTGACACCTGGCAAATGACTCTGAGAGTCCCCTTCCTATTTTGGCCAGATTGAGAACATTTTAACCGCTTTATTTTATTGTTATTTTTTTAACTTCCTTATTTTGAAAATGAAGAAACCCAGCCCAAGGAGGTGAGATGGTTAACCGAGATTTTCGTAAAAACCTTAAAGGGGCGCCTGGGTGGCTCAGCCGGTTGGGCGTCTGACTTCGGCTCAGGTCATGATCTCACAGCTCATGAGTTCCAGCCCCGCGTCAGGCTCTGTGCTGACAGCTCAGAGCCTGGAGCCTGCTTCAGATTCTGTCTCCGTCTCTCTCTGCCCCTCCCCGCTCGCTCTCCGTCTCTGTCTCTCTCTCTCAAATATAAAAAATAAAACAAAAAATTAAAAAGAAACAACAACCTTAAAGAACCCAGTGAACTTCCTCTATGGCAAAAGGAATGCAAATTAACCTAGTGCTTACATATCACACATTCTAACTGCTATAGATTTGGCATGAGGCTAGTGAGCTCCTTTTGGTTGGTCAGTTGGACACAGAAACGAGAAAGGCTATGTCTATCATAATGATTTGTTCTCCTGCCCATCCACTTCTCTTTTCCTTGGATCCATTTCCCTTTTACTTCCACACTCTGGACATTTTTCCCTGGAGTCCAGAATTCCCAATCTACTTGCAAGGTTTGGTCTTTTCTCTCTCATTGTAGTCGGTTCCTTCTCCAGCCAAGCAACTATCCCTCTGAGCAGGCATAGCCAGCACAATAGAGGGTCTGTGAGTGTGTGGTGAGCCGGCCGGCTGGGGCAAGACCACTCCGCTGCTCCTGAAATAGGCCCCACGCTATTGTGGTGTTTAATTATCAACAGCATTTCTACCACCCAGTGTCTGAGTGGGTATTTGTTCTAAGACCTGCCCAGCTAATTAACTAGAGGTGGGGGTGGGGGTGGGGTGGGAACTTGGTGTTCAAAGAATACAATTACAGTTACTGTTTAAATCCTGAGATAAATAATGATCAGACTGAATGTTTTTTCCTCACCATCAGACTCTAACCTATGGATCGCCAAGTACACACTACTTCTTAATTTCGTCTTGCCCTGCAATTGATGAGTTTTGGCCTGGTTGATAATTGCTTAGAGCAATATAACGAGGGTAAAATGTAAACTAATTTCAATTTTTAACTGAAGGTGTTAGGGAATGATTCATTTGATTTGCTTGAAAAAATGAATACATGTGCCCATTACTAAATGATATGACATTCTACAACTTAGCAACAACTTTTCTATTGTCACTAGCATTTTTCTTTTCTCTTTTTTTTAATTGATGAGAAAAGGAGGCACAAAGACAATCACTTAGTCTCAGTATCCGAAAGAGCCTCAGAACCAGCCTTAGGTGCCTCTTCTTATAGTACCCGTGGCCCAGGAGGGGAACTCACTGCTCACTAAGGTGGCCCTGTCCATTCTCACTGTCGGTTTTAATTTTAAAAGAGTTTAATTCAGGGGCGCCTGGGTGGCTTGGTCGGTTGGGCGTCCGACTTCAGCTCAGGTCACGATCCTGCGGTCCGTGAGTTTGAGCCCCGCGTCGGGCTCTGGGCTGATGGCTCAGAGCCTGGAGCC